TCTTTCTTCGAGTCATAGGTTAAATTTTCATGCTGTGTTATATGTCTAGTAATTTTTGATTGGGTGTTGCATGTTGTGAATTTAATGCTATTGTGTGCTAGAATTTTTTAAATATTTCTTTAAAGAATGTTAGATTTTATAAAAATCAAGTTACATGCAGTTAAGTTACTTACAGATCACTTTGTTCCTTTTTTCCTTCCTTCCCTCCTTTATTTTTAAATTTATTTTACACATATGTAAGAGATGGGGGGAAAGAAGGAAGGGAAAACAGGGGGAAGAGATACAGGGTTTTGCTATGCCACTGCCCTCTCCTCTCAGTCCTCCAGCTAGCCAGGATCACGGAGCATGTTTGCAGGTACACCGAGCATGTTCAGGTCAACTCCACATCTGAACCCTGGGCCTTCCCACATAGCTCCAGCACTGTGTAGCAGCATTCTGCCTGTACTACCGTGGCTAGGACTTAGGTTTGTATTTAAGCTCTTTTTAGGTGGTTTAGAGTAGCTTTTATTCTAGAACAAATTTAGCTCTATTCCTGAAGCATAGCCATTTGAGTTATTTTATGAAATCCTTGCAGATTCAAGGAAGCCTCTTTATTCTGGCTGGGGGGAAGTTGAATAATTCCTTATCTTTTGTGAACTCTGGGAATTGTTCATTTACAGCTTTTTTTCTGGTAACAGTTCTTTCCTCAGATTGTTATTCATCCAGAATTCAAGAGGACCCAAATGCTGGAGCTTTGTCTCTTTTTATCTCCCTCTTGTGTGTTTTGAACAGCCTCACAAATTTTTGCTCTTTGGACTCCTTGAACTCAAGTCTGTTTATTCAACTCAGTTAAAGTTGCTGAACTGTTTGGGTGCTTTCCCCTGAGTCACAGTTTAAGAGTTACCTTTAGGCAGAAAGCCAAGGTTATGGTAGAATTCATCTTTTTTTTTTTTTGGAGAGATTTTCACTGTAGGGCGCGTGCGCTCGCCAGACAGACAGAGAGAGACATAGAGACAGAAAGCGAGAAATCACCCCCCAGGGGGGTTGGTCATGCCGCAATCCCTTCTCCTCCATTCTCCTCTCAGGATCTTGGGCATGCACGCACACGTGCCCGGCGTGAGTTTTAAACCACCGGGTCCGGGACACGAACCGCGGTCGACTACGTGGGAGTCCAGCGACATAGCCATTACGCTAACTGCTGGTTCCCGGTAGAATTCATCTTGTCTGTTTCTCTTTTCTCACAGATCATATTCTTAGCTGCCTGTTGTCCAGTGTCTGAAAAAAGTAGTTTCCTATATTGTATCCAGTTTTCTAGTTGTTTATGTGAGGGAGTTAATTACAGACCACTTGGAAGTCCCTTGATTATCCTGTAAAAGTAGAATGTTTTTATTTAGGGACAGTTCTGTTACAATTTGATTTTTTAAAAATAATTTTATTTGTTATTACTATTTTTTAATTTGACCAGAAGGACACAGAGAGAAAAAGGAGGGAAAATGGGAAAGCAAACTGCCAGATCTGGGACTCGAACTGCAGTCGGTAGTGTGGGAGCCTAGCATCTTAACCACCATGCCACCTGCTGGCCCTACAAGTTGATTTTAAATATTATTGGTTTTAAAAGAAATACAAATCAAATTCTGTTTCATATTTATAATAGAAGTAAATTCCAAATGAATTAAGGATGTAAATGACAACACAGAACAAAAAATTAAATGCCCTTAGAAAATATTGGCGAATAGCTTTTTAGACCTTGCGAATAGGAAAAAAGTTACTTAGGACATAGAAAAAGTTTTTTGTTTTTTTTTTTTAAAGAATGATTTGGTTTAACTTTATTTATTCACTCATTTATTTTTAACTTGACCAGAGAGGACAGAGTGAAAGAGAGGTTGAGAGAGAGAGAGAAAGGGAGAAAGCTAGCTGCCAGGTCTAGGACTTGAACTGTAGTCCAGCACCCTTAACCACCACATCACCTACTAGCCCAGAAAAAATTTTAAGACACAGAAGAAAGGGTCTTTAGACACCAAAAGCATTGGTTATAAAAAAAAAAAATCAATAAATTGATTCTTAAAATTAATAGGTTTTTGGGGCCAGCAAGTGGCATGGTAGTTAAGGGTACTGAACTCCCACATAGCTAACCACAGTTTGAGTCGTGGACCTGGCAGCTTGCTTTCTCACTTTCCCTGTCTCTCTCTCTCTCTTTGTTCCTCTCTGGTCAAATTTAAATTTAAAAATAGAAATAATGTTAAATAGAATTTTTTTTTTTTTCGAGAAGTTTTTGCTGTAGGGCATGTGCACTCACCAGAAAGACATACAGAGAAAGGGAGACAGAAAGCGAGAAATCACCCTCCAGGAGGGATGGCTGTGCTGCAATCCCTTCTCCTCCATTCTCCTCTCAGGATCTTGGGCACGCACACACACGTGCCTGGCGTGAGTTTAAGCCACCGGGTCCAGGACTCGAACCATGGTCAGCTACATGAGAATTCAGCGACATAGCCATTACACTAACTGCTGGTCCCTAAATAAAATATTTTTAAAAAATTAATAGCTTTTTAAAATTCAAAAAACCTTTAAATAAAATGGAAAGAGCGATAAACTGGGAGAAGATAATTCATAATATATGCAAATGCAAAAGATGATAAAAACTTATGAGGGGGCTTCAAAAAGTTCGTGCAAAATGTCTTATGAAAAATAAACTTGTACATTAATCCATTTTTCCACAACTTTTTAAAGTTTCCTTATGTGAAGAACTTGACCAGTCAATGATAAAAGAACACAAACTTGGTATAACAGTGGGTAAAACACATGAATAGATATTTTCCCAAAAAAGAATACTCACATGACCAATAAATATATGAAGACAACATCATTAGTACTTAAGGAAATGTACATTAGGACCACAGTAAGAAATCTTTTTAAACTGATTTTTACTGGCAAAAATTAAGAGGATCTTTTTATATATTGTCAAAAGGAGTATAAACTGACGCAGCCACTTTAGCTTACAGTGTCTGTCTGATCTCCTGAGGGTGAATGTACACATAATTTATAACCCTGCAGTTCTCCTCCTACGTGTATATTCAGGAGTCTCTGCAGGTACATCAGGGTGCATGTATACAGGTGTCCATAGCAGTGTTGTGCATAATATGTGCAACCCAGAAACAGCCCAGACGCTCATCAGTGGGAGAGTTGATTAAAAACAAATAAGTATGATACACAGTATTCATACAGCACATGCACATGTGGCCAGCAGATGGCCTGAAGGTTAGATTCATGTGGTAGATTCCACATGGCCAATTTCGTGGTTCAAGTCCTGAAACTGGCAGCTTGAAAATCACCCTGGACACGTGTGTGTGCACGCGCCCAGAATCCTGAGTGGAGAATGAAGGAGAAGGGGCTGTGATTGCAGTGTGACCATTCCCCACTGGAGGTGAATTCTCTCTTTCTCTCTCTCTATCTCCCCAGCAAGTGCCTGTATCCTGTAGCTTTAAAAAAACAAACAAGCAAACAAATAAAAAACTATGAATATACAGCAGAATAAGCCAAAGATAATTAACATTGTGGATAAGACTGAATAATATAATAGTAAGTGGAAAAAGTAAGTCCTAAAAAGTCCTACTCAGCATGATACCCACCCCTTTTTAAAATTTTTATTTATTTATCTATTTATTGTGATTTTCGAGCCACTAGGTCTGGGACTTGAACCACAATTGGCCATGTGAGAATCCAGTGCCTTAATCGCCATGGCACCTATTGGCCCATACACCCTATTTTAATAAAATGGAAATATTCTTTAAAAATTAAAATAAAGAGCTTTTTTTGTGCAGATAGCAGGCCCGCAAGCATGGTGAACGTCCCTAAAACCCACCGGACCTTCTGTAAGAAGTGTGGCAAGCACCAATCTCATAAAGTACACAGGACAAAAAGGGCAAGGATTCTCTGTGTGCTCAGGGACAGCGCCATTCTGACAGGAAGCAGATTGGCTATGGTGGACAGACTAAGCCTATTTTCCAGAAAAAGGCCAAAACTACAAAGAAGATTGTGCTGACGCTTGAATGTGTTGAGCCCAACTGCAGATCTAAGAGAATGCTGGCTATTAGAGATATAAGCATTTTGAGCTGGGAGGAGATAGGAAGAGAAAGGGTCACGTGATCCAGTTCTAAGCCTCATCTTTTCTATTATGAAGACAACAAAATCTTGAGGTGAATGTTCACCTCATTTGATTACAGTTGGTCTATTTGTAAGGGAATAAAGTAATCAATAAAATTGCCCTTTCGGGGAAATTTGATTCATGGTACTACTTGTTTTGGATTAAATCTGACTGGCTGAGCTCAAAAAAAAAAAAAAATTAAAATGAATAAGTGTTATATATAAATGCAAAAAGGAATCTATAAAAAGAAAAGTGAGAGAATGACGAACATGTGAATGTGATAACTTTTGGAGTTAGGGAAGTGGGGAGATGGGATGGAGGAGATTATGCCATTTAAATTATTATCAAGGTCTTTTTTTTTTTTTTTAACAATACCTATTTGCTAGCAAAATGCTATTGTTAAGTCATTTTTAAAAAAGTTTGCTGTAGGGTGCATGTGCTCATCCCCCTTTTTGGAATTAACTTTAGAGCCAGTTTGGACCACAGACAAGTATCAGTCACATTGCTTTAAAATTACTCTTAGGTTTTTATCTCCCTCCAAATTTGCTTGCTTATGCATTCCTTGTATTTACCACATTGGCTTCAAATGATTTTTAACTTTCTCTACCCATAAAAACCGGTGGTTGCTTTTGAAGATATTAAAGTATGTTGGAAGTAATTTTATTAGCAAAAATAAAATCATGTCTTCCTTGAAGAGAGTAGCACTTTCTGCATGTACAACTTTTGGCATATTTAAGTCTTATTTCAAAGTGACCTTGAACATGGTCTCTATTAAGTGCATAGCAGAATACACCTAATCAGTATCAGTGTGGGCCTAACTTTAGATGATTTTGTGATTTAATATGTAGTGAGTGGGCTTCTCTTTGTTGTCCGTCACCAGGTCTACAATGTTTACATGGCAGGAAGGCAGCTGTGTTCTAAGAGGTACCGGGAGTTTGCCATCCTACATCAGAACCTGAAGAGAGAGTTTGCCAACTTCACATTTCCCCGACTTCCAGGAAAGTGGCCATTCTCATTGTCAGAACAGCAGTTAGATGCCCGACGTCGGGGGTTAGAAGAATATCTAGAAAAAGGTAAGCCAGACTCAAACTCTAATATTCCGAGGAAGTACAAGGTCTTCAGTGTATATTGCAACTCCTAAACTGCATTGCTAAATTTCTTGAAACTTACTAGTGAAATAAATAAAGTTTCTGACTTACAGGTGTTGACTGGTCTGATATTTGATGGCAAGACTGAAATGTCTAGTACAGTGATTAGTAGCCTGTCTTATTGGCTCACTGAGCACTTAACAGAAAAATGATTAGTTTTTGATGCATTTAATGGTCCTTAATAGGCCTTCATTTATAGTGTTGTATTATTTGCCAGCAAACACATACAGATTCATCAGAATGCTGAATTGATTAGGGAAGTAAATAGGCAGTATTTAAATCATTTTCATTAAACTGATTCTCGGCTCATCAGCATAGCCTACATGAAAACTTACTCCTTTCACAGTATTCATGGATAGGTTGCTGACTTGTAGGTGTTCTAAAGTTCCCTAGTTCTCAGTAGGCTATAGGTGCAGTATGGAAACTTATTTGTCATCTTAGTGTTTCCAAATGATACATCAGGAGTCCACGAGTATGGATGCCAAAACATTTTGTTTATCCAGAAAAGCAGGGAAATGACACAGATCTACTGAATAAGTTAGTTGATCTTGTGGCTCAGAGAGACCTTGTCTTACTCCATTATAGAGTTGTATAATTTGTAAACTGCAAAAATAAGATTTTCTTTAAAATACCAGTTTACTAGAATAATGGCCTTATCTGATATTTAGTAATTCTGTGTCCTTGTATAAAAACTAATTGACCTAGTTGAATTTTTTTAAAACTTTGGTGTAGGGAGGATTATCCCTGAAGAAAAACCATTTCCCCCATAGAAGGTAGTGGAACTTCTTCATCTGTTTTTAGCTTTTTCTAACATGGACTGGCCTCTGAATACAGCCCTTGGGAAATGAGAAAGCATACTTTTTTTTTTTAATCAAATGAAGTAAATCATCAGTGTAATTTACTATCCTCATGAGAATATCAGGAAATTAACTTTCTTAGACTTAGGCAATTAGCTACTTACCTGCCTGCTTTACTTTCTAACTTAAACACATTTTTAGGGAGGTTATTTTGAAGCTAAAGTCAGTGAGGTAACATGATGTGCCCAGCTTAATACTTAATTATTTAACCATTTTTTTCTAAGTGTCTTTAATTGTTATGGTTCTATGACTGATCTGCTCTTGGGCCAAATAGATATTTTTCCTTTGGTATTTCTATTTTTAAAATTTTATTATTTTTATTATTGTTATTATTTTTAATTTGATCAGAGAGAGAAGGGGAAAGTGAGAAAGCAAGCTGCCAAGTCCAGGATTCAAACCTTAGTTGGCCATGTGGGAATCCAGCATCTTAACTAGTATGCCACCTCCCGGCTCCTGGTATTTCTAATTAAAAAAAATTTTTTTTAAATTCATGACAGAGCACTTGTGCATATGTGCATACTGAGAGAGAGAGGAGTACCTCCACAAGGTCCAGCTGTGCTGTTATCCCCTTCCTCCTGTCCTCCAGTCCCTTCGATCTTGGGCACTCGTGTGCATGCCTGGCATGTTTCAGGCTGGAGATTCAATCAGGGTACTCTTATTTATTTTTTATTAAATTTGCCAGAGGGTGCTTGCACTTGCTAGAGAGAGACAGAGAAGGAAGGAGGGAAACTGAGAAAGCACTCCTCATGGAGAAAGGTAATGCTGCAATCCCTTTTCCTCCGTTCTCCTTTTGTGATTTTGGGCACTTAACACACACATGCCCTGAGTGTCTGTCTCTTAAGTCACCGATCTGGGACTGACCTGTGTGGTTGCGCCATGTGGTTCACAACTGCCCTCATCATGCCCTGGACTGGGCCTGGGATCGTGGATCCGGCTCCTCATAGCTTCACTCCTGTGTGCTGGAGCCAGCCCTCAGTTTTATATTTGGCTTAGTCCTGATCACCCTTTCCCTGACACTGCCTCTTTTCTCTCATGTTTTGTTGTTCTGGCACATTAATAGGTCACATGAGATGACAAAGTTAGATTTACTGAACTTTTATTTCTCTTTTCTTGTCATGTTTATTATTTTTGACAAGCTACACCTTTGTGTTTTTATTATTCTGTTTAAATCATATTTAGATGCATGTTTGTCATGCCTTAAAACCTTCTACACCAGGTCTGCTCTGTGGCCTGGTTAAGGCAGCTGGTTTGTGCAGTTTGAATCCCAAATCCAGCAGGCTTGAGAAACATGCTGGGCACATATTCATGGGTGCCCAGAATCCTGAAAGGAGGGAAAGATGGAGAAGAGATTATGGGGTGACCATGCCACATAAGGGGTGCTTTCTTCTCTCTCTCTCTCTGTCTCTCTGTCTCTGGGAAGTGCACATACCCTCAAGCCAAAAAGCAAAACAGAAACAACTTTCCAATACCAGGGATAGCATGCTACCTCATCATTGCTTTCTCTTGATGAGTTAAACTTAAACCTCATGAAGACACTTCATGAAGCTGACCTACATGAGGTTACCAGTTTGCACCCGGAGACGACTGAGTCTGCCAGGCACACATGTGCCCATGATCTCGACTGGTTGAGACTGGGTGTGGATCATAGTGACAAGACCCTGTTGGGGATACTGTATATCTATCTCACTCATGGAATAAGTTTTTTTAAAAAAGACTATTTTAAAAAAGAACCTGGGACCAGCAGATGGCATAATGGTTACATTGCTGGACTACATAGTTGACCACAGTTTGAGTCCCAGACCCAGTGACTTAAAACTCACGCCAGGCGTGTGTGCATGGGTGCCCAAGATCCCCAGAGGAGAATGGAGAAGAAAGGATTGAGGTGTGGCCACCCCCCCAGGAGGTGATTTCTCACTTTCTGTCTCTCTGTCTTTCTCTGGTGAGTGCATATGCCCTATAGCAAAATTCTCTCTTAAACAAAACAAAACAAAAAGACTTAATATTAAACTTAAACCTCATGAAGACACTTCATGAAGCTGACCTACATGAGGTTACCAGTTTGCACCCGGAGACGACTGAGTCTGCCAGGCACACATGTGCCCATGATCTCGACTGGTTGAGACTGGGTGTGGATCATAGTGACAAGACCCTGTTGGGGATACTGTATATCTATCTCACTCATGGAATAAGTTTTTTTAAAAAAGACTATTTAAAAAAAGAACCTGGGACCAGCAGATGGCATAATGGTTACATTGCTGGACTACATAGTTGACCACAGTTTGAGTCCCAGACCCAGTGACTTAAAACTCACGCCAGGCGTGTGTGCATGGGTGCCCAAGATCCCCAGAGGAGAATGGAGAAGAAAGGATTGAGGTGTGGCCACACCCCTGGAGGTGATTTCTCACTTTCTATCTCTCTGTCTTTCTCTGGTGAGTGCATATGCCCTATAGCAAAATTCTCTCTTAAACAAAACAAAACAAAAAGACTTAATATGTTCTTGAGTTTATAATCTTGCTTTTAGGGTCTTAAGCAGATTTTCTCTTTGTTTTCCACAGTATGTTCAATACGAGTCATTGGTGAGAGTGACATAATGCAGGAATTCCTATCAGAATCAGATGAGGTAGGTAAATCCCCCTTAAGTGACTGTTTTCCTCTTGATTCCTTATGGGAGAAAATAAATCAAAGATGCCAATTATGAATCAACTTCCTATAAACTCTCCAAACAACTACATTTTTTCTACTTTTCATATGTATCTTGCTTATCTACCCTTCAAGACCTAGTATCAGAGCCATCTTCTCTTTGAAGCCTTCCCTGATGACTCAAGTCATCAATTTTTCATTCCACCAAGAACTTTCGCAGTCAGTTCCATTCAGTTATCACCTGTTGCTATCTCATTCTCTAATTTTTATACATATAATCAGATTGTCACTTTATATTTTTAGCTTACAAGAGTGTGAGCTACCTGTAGGTAAGAGCTAAATCTTGATCATCTTTATATTCCCAGTGCCTTACCAGTGTCAAGCATGTTGAAGGTGTTTAGTAATACTAATTGAGTAAAAAAAAAGGAATATGTCATGCTGATGTATGTGTGTTATCCACTAATTAGTTTATTTGTATATCTTATTTTTACGACTAGATTATAAGTTTCTTATAGGTGAGGGTTTTTAATAAAGTAATGCTTAGAATAGTTTTCAATAATGAATAGTTCTTTTTAAAATGGTAAATGAAGATGGATTTGTTTCTAAATAGTTGATTCGCTAATAAAAATTATGAGGACAAAAGTCTATTAGAGAATGTGTTAATTATTGAAAGCAATAATTTCATTTTAATTAAGGAGAATAAGAATTATTTATTCTTTGCTAGAGGACAATTTGGCATCAGACTAATATAGATCTCTGAGTTTCACCCATTTTTCCTTTCAAAGCTATCCTAAATTATTTCAGGATTCAGAAGGAAGTTAGAATAACTCTTGAGCCAATCTACATGCCTACCTATTGAAACCAGGGAATATATGTTGGAACACTATTTTCCATTGTTTCCTTTTTTCAGTTGTGGGTTCTGAATCGGGTAAGGGAAGTGAACCAAAAATCTCATCTGTATTTGCCCTAGACTGTTTTCCCAAGTTTTCTGTTTTGAGATGTGAACACTGACCTCAACATGTTTCTTTTCTCCCTGTTCATCTTAAAGGCTTGACTTCTGCTGCAGCTTAAAGTCAGCTTTATGACTTGTAGATATATTGACTGTTAAGGTGTCTTTTTTCCCTTTTATTGGAACTCACTTCCTCTCCATCACATGTTTAGGTTATTGTTTAGCCAGCCTATTACAGGGAGAATGAGGAAATACTGAGTCATAAATTCTTTCTCTGTCTTTTCCCCCAGAACTACAATGGTGTGTCCGACGTAGAGCTGAGAGTAGCATTACCGGACGGAACAACGGTGACAGTCAGGGTTAAAAAGAATAGTACTACAGACCAAGTGTATCAGGTAAATTAAACTCAAGCATGCAGACTTGATATTGGATGGTGTGAAGCTAAGAACAAAGATTAAATGAGTGAATATATATAAAGCGCTTTGAGTGTCTGGCACATAATAGTTTATTAAATGTTAGCTACTGTTGTTATTGTTGTTAATGTGAATGTTCTTTGCTCTCCTTGAAAGAAAGGTACAGGAAATATTCCAGATTGTAGTAATGTGATTAACTCCTCCTTTAAAATTTTTTTTAGTTGTAAAATACTTTATAATATTATGAAAACAGAATATACAATGAGTCTCTCTATACTCATTATTTATATTTAATAATTATCAATATTTTGCCACATTCGTGACATGTATCCTTTTTTTCTTTTCCTTTAACTATTTGAAAGCAAATTCATGTTAGCGGACCTGTACGAACTTTAGTATGCATATGAAAATAAGGACATAATTCTTACACAGCTATGGCACCATACCAAGCTTAAAAAATAGCACTATTTGGGACCAGCAGCTGGTGTGGTGGTTAAGGTGCTGGACTCCCACATGGCTGACTGTGGTTTGAGTCCTGGACCTAGCGGCTTGCTTTCTCACTTTCCCTCTCTCTGTCTCTTTCTCCTTCTCTGTCTTTCTCTGGTAAGCACATATGCCCTATAGCAAATTTTAAAAATAATAATAATAAATTAAATAAATAATTCTAAAAAAATTAGCACTATTTTCTTTTTTTTTTAAGGATTATTTATTTATTCATCTATTATTATTATTTCTCAGTTTGACCAGAAAGAGAGAGAGGGAAAGCAAGCCTCCAGGTATGGGACTCAAACCAGCTGCTACTGGCCATGTGGGGGTCCAGCACCCTTAACCACCATGCCACCTGCCAGCCCCCTATTTCCTTGTTTTTAACTCATAACTACTCTGTAATCAGATTTTTCAGATTGTCTAAAAATGATTTTTACATTTGGTTTGTTAGATCTGTATCTAAACAAGGTCCTTACATCACTATTTTTTAAATAGAGCAGTCCTCCTTCCCTTCCCAGCTTTTTTCCCAATCATTGTTTTGTTACAGAAATTGGGTCAGTGTCCGGTGGAATGTCCCACATTCTGAATTTATGTTTGTTTCCTTGTGGTGGTGTTTAATATATCCTCTCTGTCTCTATTTCTGTAAGTGGAAGTTTGTTTTAGAGGCTGGCTTAGATTCAGGTTCTGCTTTTTTTTTTTTTTTTTTGCTATAGGGCCCGTGCGCTCGCCAGACAGACAGAGAGAGACATAGAGACAGAAAGCGAGACATCACCCCCCACCGCAGGGTGGTCCCTGCAATCCCTTCTCTTCCATTCTCCTCTCGGGATCTTGGGCACGCACGCACATGTGCCCGGCGTGAGTTTTAAGCCACCAGGTCCGGGACGTGAACTGTGGTTGACTACGTGGGAGTCCAGTGACATAGCCATTATGCTAACTGCTGGTTCCCAGGTTCTCCTTTTTTTGATAAGACTACTTCAGAATTGATGCTATGTACTCCATACTGCCACTTCTTCCTTTTTTTTTCCTTTAGAATTATTTATTTATTTAATTTTAGTTATTATTTTAATTTGACCAGAGAAAGATAGAGGGGAAATGAGAAACCAAGATGTGAAGTCCAGGACTCAAACAATAGTCCAGCCATATGGAAGTCCAGCGCTTTAACCACTATGCCACCTGCCCGTCCTGTTCTGCTTCTTAACAGGAGATACACAATATTTTGTTATTCCACTTAAAAAAAATTATGTATTTATTTAATTCCATTTGTTATGATTTTAATTTGACCAGACAGAGAGAGAGAGAACGGGAAAGCGAGAAAACAAATCGCCAGGTCTGGAACTCGAACCACAGTTGGCCATGTGGGAATCCAGCCCCTTTAACCACTGTGCCACCTGCTGGCCGGTTATTTCACTTTTAATGGGACTGAAATCCATCAGTAGGTTTAGGCAGTGATTATCTGATCTCTACATTGTAAAGTTCCCCATTGATCTTTTATCAAACGAATATATCTGTTGATGATTGTTGCCTTAACTAATGATTTTATTAAAGGTATCAAAGTGCTGATTTTCTAAATCTCTCATTTCTTTATTATTATTATTTTAGTTAACTTTATTTATTTATTTATTTTAATTTGATCAGAGAGGAACAGAGAAAGAGAGAAAAGGGAAAGTGAGAAAGCAAGCCGCCACATCTGGGACTCGAACTGTGGTTGACCACGTGAGAGTCCAGTGCCCTTAGCCACCACACCACCTGCCAGTCCCAATCTCTCTTTTCTTCACACTTACCAGCTAGAATTTTGTAAATAACTCTTCTTTATCAACTAAGACTAGTTATCCTAAAATGCAGTTTGAGAGAAAGAGAGGATATTTAATTCTTTCATTTTGTTACCAATTTTCAGAGTGAAGAATTGGTGCCCCAGTTGACTCCAGTGATGGCCAATGAGATAATTGTTATATTTTACTCTTTCAGTGCTTTGTGGGTTTATTTTAGATTCAAAGTGATTTAATCAGTAGCATACAAAGGGATTTTTAAAAGTTCATGTAAATGCAATTAAAGTTCAAGTTTTGAGGGCCTGGCCAATGGTGTGGTGGTTAAGACAACTGGATACCACATGGCCATCTGTATGATTCAAGCCCCAATTCCAGAGGCTTGGGAGACATGCCAGGTCAAAATCCCGAGGAGAATGGAAGAGAAGGGATTGTGGCATGGCTATCTCCCTGGGAGGTGCTTTCTCATGTTCCTTCTCTACCTCTCTCTCTGTCTGGCAAGTTCACACAAATTTAAAAAAAAAAAAAAGATACAAGTCAAAACCAGCAGTTAGTGTAATGGCTATGTCGCTGGATGCCCACGTAGTCGACAGCGGTTCTAGTCCCAGACCCGGTGGCTTAAACTCACGCCAAGTGCGTATGCATGCGTGCCTAAGATCCCCAGAGGAGAATGGAGAAGGGATTGCAGCATGGCCATCCCCCCATGGGGGGTGATTTCTCACTTTTTGTTTCTCTGTCTTCCTGGCAAGCACATGTGCCCTATAACACCCCCAAAAAAAAAAGATACAAGTTGATTTTGTTGCAAAAAGATTTTTCCTATAAAATCACTATAGGGACCAACAGATGATGTAGTGGTTACATTATTGAATTTCCACACGGCTGACCACAGCTTAAGTCCTGGACCTAGTGACTTGAAATTCACTTTGGGTGCATATGTGTATGCCCAAGATCCCAGGAGAAGAATGGAGAAGGAATTATGACATGGCTATCCCCCTGTGGGTGATTTCTCACTTTCTCTCTTACTGTCTCTGTCCTTCTCTCTGGCGAGCATATACACCCTAATAAAAAGTTCTAAAAAACCTCTTTAAAGAAAAAATATGCACTATATTTTCTTTCTTAAAAAATACTCATTTATTTATTTATTTATTTATTATTTTAAAATTTGACCAGGGAGAAACAGAAAGAAAGAAAGGGGAAGTTAGAAAGCAAGATGCTAAGTCCAGTACTTGAATTACAGTCAGCCATGTGGGAGTCCAGAGCCTTAACCACCATGTCACCTACTGGTCTCAGTATTTTTATAATACACATTTTTCCATGAACCTTTTGAAGACCCCTCATATAATAAAAAAAAAAAAAAAAAAGATGAAGTCTTGAGATCAACAGTTGGCATAATGGCTGTGTCACTGGACTCCCATGTAGTCTACGCGGTTCAAGTCCCAGACCCAGTGTCTTAAACTCATGCCAGGCGTGTGTGCATGCGTGCCCAGGATCCCAAGAGGAGAGTGGAGCAGAAGGGATGGTGGCGTGGCCATCCTCTGGGGGATGATTTCTTGCTTTCTGTCTCTCTGTCTGTCTGGCAAACGCACACACCCTATAGCAAAAACCTCTCAAAAAAAAAAGATGAAGTCTTACTGGAGCCAGCAGGTGGCACGGTGGTTAGGGTGCTGGAATCTCACATGGCTGATTGTGGTTCAAGTCCAAGACCTGGTGGCACGTGGGCATGTGTGCCCAGGATCTCAGGAGGAAAGTGGAGGAGAAGGGATTACTGCATAGCCATCCTTTCTAGGGGGCAATGTCTCACTTTCCCTTCATTGTCTTGCTCTGTCTCTCTTGAGTGAGCACACACTCCTTATGGCAAAAACCTTTAAAAAAACCAAAAACCAGAAAAGATGAGATCTTATTACATCCTAATCCTGTGCTTCAGCCTCTCAAGTAACTGGGACCACAGGCATGTGCCACTGTATCCTGCTTTTAGGGTGGGCTGGAATTAGATTGGGCTCCCATATGGCCTCAGCTTGCCATGTAGCAGCATCTTCTGCCAGTGCATTGCCATGGCGAGACCTGTGTTATCTTTTTGATGCTCAAATTGTTTCATCCTTGATCAGAAGTTCTTCATGTCTGTTCTTGTGTGCCTATTTAAGAAAAATAATTATTTAATTTTATTCATCATAATCATCATTATTATTTTAATTGAACAGAGGGAGATGGGGGTTGGGGGTGGGGGTGTGGAATTGAGAAAGCAAGCTGCCAGGTCCGGGACTCAAACTGCGGTCAACCATGTAGGACTCTAGTGCCCTAACCACCACACTACCTGCCGGCCCCACCTGTGTGCTTTTTTTCCCCCAAGAATTATTTTATTTAACTTTAATTTTTATTATTTTCGAGTTCGATGAGAGAGAGAGAGAGAGAGAGAAAGTGAGAAAGGAAGCCACCAGGTCTAGGACTTGATCCATGGTTGGCCATGTGGGAATCCAGCACTCTTAACCACCACGCCACCTGCCGGCCCCTCCTGTGTGCTTCTCAGGCAAACTATTATTTTTGATAGTATCCTTGCTTTTTTGTCCATATGTCCTGGGCTCATCTTTATATTTCCTACCCTAGATTTAGCACAAGCCATTTCCCCAGTGAATTCCTTTTAGTGAGAGACAATATTTAAAGATTATGATTGGGTGCTGGTTGGGTGCTGGTGTGTGCTGGCCTTTTCATTGGCCTTTAATTCTATAGTGGTTAAGATTTTCAGGGAGATAAGCAGGCTCCTGGATGTAAATACTTTTTTCTCTTTTGTAGAAAATATTTAGAAAAAGAAAAAAACTACCCTCCCCCCCAACATTTATTCAGCTGTTGTCTCTAGTAAAGGCTGTGCTGGATTTCAGGTATTTCTGAAATTCACAGTGGTGGGGAAAGCTCCCTAGTTTTAATTTGCCGCTGTTTTGTTTTGCATTTTGCTCAATTTTTGGTTTTGTTTTCCTTTACAGGAGGGGGTAGGGGAGAAACAGGGAATGGGAGAGAGATGTAGGCATTTTTTTTTTTTTTTTTTTTTTGGACAGGATCTCATAATGTTGCTATCCTTCTACCGCAGCCTCCCGATTAGCCAAACAACTGGACCGGCATGCTCAGGTTGGTCTGGGAGCTGAACCATGGCTTCCAGCCTTGTAAACAGTGGTGCCTGCCTCTGAGGCTCGGCCTGTTTGCTTTGCCTTTTTTATGTGTTTCTCTAGCGAGGTCTAGATTTCCCTGCGGCCTAGATTTCTCTATTCTTTCTCCCAACCTTGATGCTGATACTTCTAGTTAGAAGCCATTTTCTAAACCTTGAAAAACGTTCAGTTTCTTTCTTTCTTTTTGGTTTCCTTTACTTTTGAGAACTTTTTGCTATAGGGTATGTATGTTCACTAAAGAGACAGACAGAAAGCAAGAAATCATCCCATGGGGAGATGACCACACCACAGTCCCTTCTCCTCCATTCTCTTCTTGGGATTTTGGGCATGCACACACATGCACCCAGTGTGAGTTTCAAGCCGCCAGGTCTAGGACTCAAACCATGGTCTATCATGTGGGAGTCTAGTGCCTCAACCACTGTGCACCCTGAGAAATATTCAATTTCTATTCAGTGCAATACAGAATGGTAATTTAGAACACTTAGAATCTCTCTTTCCTAAATTGTATCAGTGATAAACCTAAACCTTATATTTAAGCAGATAGGGTAGGGATATAATCATATTTTATTTTCTGAGATATAAATATTAAACAGTTTTATCTTGTTCAGTTAATACCTTATTTATATGAAATTGATCATGAAAAGGAATTTTGTTGCATCTAGTCTCTAGTCTGTTTTTTTTTTGCTTTGTGCTTTGCTGTTGTTTGTATGTAGTTTCATTTTTAATTTTTTTGTACATGTAATCTGTCAGTTTATTTGTCATGCTGAAACCTTAGTTCTTAAATAGAAGGACTGGCTCTTGTTTAATATGCCAACAATTTGCCATTTTCATGTGGATATTGGTGACTAATTTTTAGGAAATGGAGATGCTTAATGTTCTAACCTGGGCTCATTTGAAAAAAATAAAATTTGTGAAGTCTGAATAAAATTGATGAATGGAATGGTATTTTAAGTTTAAGAATCAAAGATACAGATCTTACAAGTTAACAGCTTATATTAAATGTAGCCTGGGGGCCGGTAGGTAGTGTGGTGGTTAGGGGCGCTGGACTCCCAGATGGCTGACCATGATTCAAGTCCTGAACCTGGTGGGTTGCTTTCTCACTTTCTTTCTCTCTCTCCCTCCCCGCTTCTCTCCCTCTCTCTCCTTGTCTGGTCAAATAAAAATAAATAAATAAATACAGTTAAATAAAAATAAATGTAGTCTGAATGTGTGAAACTGGATATTTAAGAGTGGTTTTCTTTGTAAGACCTCTTATAGCAAAAACATTACTTGTAAATGGTATTTAAAAATACCTGTGTGAAATGAAATCACTTTTCAGAGAGGAAAACTAATTAAAGGAGGGACTGTTATCAAGTTATATTGGAAGAAAGAAACTCATATTTAGAGATCATAGCTGTATGGGTTAAATAAAGATGATTTTCCCCTTTAATACACACACATGTGTACACATGCATATACACAAAGAAGGGTAGCTACAGACCACGAATTCCGTTTTTGGGAAGCCAAGATGGCAGAAGCTCTTCTTACCTTCCGTCTGTATGCATATACCTGCCTTTCCCGCAGCATTGTCTGAGTGAGTTTTCCTGAAACCAGTGTGCTCTGTTCATACTTTAGGCCATTGCAGCAAAGGTTGGCATGGACAGTACGACAGTGAATTACTTTGCCTTATTTGAAGTGATCAATCATTCCTTTGGTAAGTGCTAGTGACCGATAATGAGTTTTGTTTGGGGATGTCTTATTCTTTTTTTTTAAATAATTATTTTAGTATATTAATTACTATTATTTTTAAATTTGACCAAAGAGAGAGGGAAAGTGAGAAGGCAAGCCACCAGGTCCAAGACTCAAACCATGGCCTGCCATGTGTGAGTCCAATACCTTAACAACCACACCACCTGCTTGCCCATTAACATTTTATTTTATCTATTTTTTAAAAATTATTTATTTAATTTTATTTATTATTATTTAATTCATCAGAGAGATAGAGGGAAAGTGAGAAAGCAAGCCACCAGGTCTGAGACTCGAACTGCCATCAGTTATGTGGGAATCTAGCCACCACCCCACCGGTTGGCCCCAACATTTTCTTTTATTTATTTATTTTTAATTATTTATTTATTTTTATGTATTTATTTGAGCAGAGAGAGAAAGAGAATAAGAAAGCAAACTGCCAGGTCTAGGACTCGAACCATGGTTGACTATATGGGAATGTAGCACCTTAACCACCACACCACCTGCCAGCCCCTAACATTTTATTTTTTAACAATCTTTTCAGAACAGTTTTCAGAAGTTAGAGATATTTTGCTCAAAAGTCTTTTTTTTTCCTTTTTTTTTAAGAACTCTTTATTTACTTTTTATTATTATTATTATTTATTTTGCTGTAGGGCACATGTACTCACCAGAAACACACACACACATACACAGAAAGTGAGAAAGCAAGCCACCAGGTCTGTGACTGGAACCATGGTTGGCTATGTGGAAGTCTAGCACCTTAACGAGCCAGCTGCTGACCTTAAAAGCCTTTAAAAAAAAAAAAAATAGGTTTTTACCTTAGAGTATGTGTGCTCACTGTGGGGGGAGAGAGAGAGAGAGACATAGATAGTGAGAGAGAAAGTTAGAACTCATCCCCCCAGGGGAGACAGCCACTCTGCTGTCCCGTATCCATTCTCCTTCTGGGATCTTGGGCACACACCCACATGTGCCCAGCGTAGTTTTTAATCCATTAGGTCCAGGACTTGAACTGCAGTCAGCCATGTGGGAGTCCAGTGATATAAGTGCTATGCCATCTGCTGGCTGCCCAAAAACCTTTTTGAATGGACATATTTATGTTTCTGTATGAATAGGTTTTATCTTTCTAGAAACGTTTTTTTAAAGTGGTTTTTTTTTGTTGTTGGTTTTTTTTGTTGTTTTTTTGCCATGGGATGGCATGAACTTGTCAGAGAGACAGACCAGAGACAGAGAGGGAAAGTGAGAAATCATCCCCAGGGATTGGCCACACTCCAATCTGTTCTCCTCATGGCATTTCTGGCAAGCATGCATATGTGGTTAACATGATTTTCTTTTTCTTTTTTTTTTTAAAGAGAGGTTTTTGCTATAGGGCGTGTGCACTCGCCAGAAAGACAGAGAGAGATAGAGAGACAGAAAGCGAGAAATCACCCCCCAGGGGGGATGGCCACACCTCAATCCCTTCTCCTCCATTCTCTTCTTGGGATCTTGGGCATGCACGCACATGCGCCCGACCTGAGTTTAAGCCACTGGGTCTGGAACTTGAACTGCAGTCGGCTACCTGAGAGTCCAGTGACATAGCCATTACGCCAACTGCTGGCCCCATCAACATGATTTTCCATTGCACCACGGAGCCACCTACCATCAACATGATTTTCAAGCCTCTGGGTCTGGTACTCTTATACCGGAGTTGGCCATGTGGGATCCAGTGCCTTAACCACCATACCACATGCTGGCCCTTCCCAGGAAGTTTTATTACATGGTGGCAGGAGACTTCTCTTACAATTTTTTTTTACAATATAGGAGTGGTGGTGCTGTCCCTGTGGCCTACTGGTTAAGGGAGGTGGATCCCGCCAGCTGACTGTGCTTCAATTCCTGGCTGCAGTGGCCAGGTGCATGTGTGTGCACATACCCAAATCCCGATAGGATGAAGAAAGGATTGTGGTGTGATCACACCCCATCGGGGTGGGACTTTTTCCTTCTCCCTCTCTTCCTCCTTCCCTCTCTCCAGCAAGTGCATGAATCCTCTGACAAATAAAAAAAAAAAGTAGAGATGGTGGTCACATTAGTTGCTTTGAGACTGCAAAAAGGGAAGAGGGGCTGTGAATGACAGATTTCCTAGTGTATGGGTCTCTCTATATATGTATGTACCTCACACACACATACAAGGCTAAGGCCAGAAATGATGTAGATAATATTGGTTGATTAGACCCTTCTCATCTCAGAAAGGGGGACAGTTGGATAGATTTGGGTTGCCTTATCATCCATTCCAGGTCAAGGTATCAAAGAACAACTTTTATTCCCCAAAACAGCCAAATTACTGTTACTCTTTTTCACCCCAGTGCTAAGCAGCCTAATCAAGCAAATAAAAATTATTTTCCAAACAATTGCTCAGGTACCAGGGCACTTGGATGCTAATCTTGTCATTTTCAAAGCTTTCTATAAAATAGGAAGTATTCTTTCTTTTTTTTTTTTTTTTTAGGCTTTTTTTTTGCTATAGGGCACACACGCTCGCCAGAAAGACAGAGAGAGAAAGAGAGACAGGAAGTGAGAAATCTTCTCCATTCTCCTCTCGGGATCTTGGGCATGCACACGCGCCCGGCATGAGTTTGAGCCACCAGGTCTGGGATTCCAACTTCGGTCGTCTACATGGGAGTCCAGCAACAGAGCCATTATGCCAACTGCTGGTCCCAAAATAGGAAGTATTAAATCTGTTTTTCACAGTGTTACAAAGCTAAGAACACTTCAAGAGAGGGAAATTTAACCTTCCAAAAGAAAGGCAATATAGAAATTAAAAGTGGTGGTGTTTTAACCTCATTCCTGTGCTCTTCCTAAGAGAAGTAACTTGACTCATCTGTTTGATGAATGCCTTAGAGTTTTGGAAGTGGGTGGGAGGAACCTCTTAGTTCTTAACAATAAAAGAAGTCAATTGAAAAGCGCCTGGTGAGTAACTGGCTGCACCCTAGCTGGGTGAAAGGAGTGGCTTGCTTTCGAGGTGGTCAGTGGACTCACAGCTCTACTGTAATGAACCAGCAGCTTTAACTGAATTTGGAGGTGGTGCTGTCTGCAGTTGTCATGGTAGCCAGCCGACCTGTCTTTTAAGGTTTCAGTCCTTTTAAGGCTTAACTGGCCACTGTCATAGTTAGGAGAAGCTATAGATTTATTAGCTCCTTGATGGATTTGGGCTGACATTCTAGGTAATGATAAACAACCATCCTTAGTCTGCCTTACTTAATTTATTATAGCAAAATTTCTTAATTATAAATGTCCACTCTAGCTTTCTTTATTTTGTCTCTTCTTTAGTGCGTAAGCTGGCACCTAATGAATTTCCTCATAAACTCTACGTCCAGAATTACACATCCGCAGTGCCAGGCACCTGCCTGACCATTCGAAAGTGGCTTTTTACGACAGAAGAAGAAATCCTCTTAAATGACAATGACCTTGCTGTTACCTACTTCTTTCATCAGGTGGGTGAATTGATCTTCCTGAAAGACCTGATTTCTTTCTTTGTACACTGTAGATAATTTGCCAATTCGGTATAAATCCTTGGTTAAACTGCTTTGCTCCTGGGTCTGAGTTCTGTCTGTAATATGTTCCATCCCATTTCATAGAAGATAAGTAAGTAGGACTGGCCTTGTGATCCAGTGATTAAGGGAGCCTTGGGTCCTAAATGGCTATGGTTTGACTCCTGACCCTAGTGACTTGGTAAACATGCCAGGCAAGTATGTATGTGTATGTGCATGCATGTGTATGTCTGCGTGCCCCCCCTAAATCCTGATGCTGGAAAATGGAGGAGAAGAGATTATGATGTGACCATACCTCATTGGATTTGGGTGATATTTTCTCTCTCTCTCTCTCTGGAGAACACATATGTCTCTGACATTAAAAAAAAAAAAAAGAAAAATGTTAGAAGAAATCTTGGAGTTTTTAAAAAAATACTTTTTTAAAAAATTTACCAGAGGGTGCTTGTACTTGTCAGGAAGAGATGAGTCCCGGGGTGGTGGGGGGGGGGGCAAGCCCCCCCTTCCCATGGAAATGGTCCACCCCCAAACCC